CCAAGAATTCCATTTTTTTCTAAGTATAACTTCCATGATTCCAATAACCATTTTGTAGAATTAGTAGTTTTGTTGCTATCATCTTCAAAAATAAGACAAGATAATTTGATGTAGTTATCACCATCATTGGAAAATCATTAACAGTAACTTCAATTCCTAATAAAATCTTGAATGAATAACAACTTGGTTTTCAAAAACTTGTTTGTTGTTAATGAAAACATCTTCAAATTTACCTGGATTGGATTCAACTTTAAATTCGTAAATTGCTTGGTAAGATCTTTTTCAATTGTTTGGCACAATGTTTAACCTTTGGATTCTGAACCTTTCATATCAATTACCAATTTGCTATTGTTTTTGAAATCTTCAATTGAAGCTGGGAAATTGATAAATGATTGGTAATCACTTTCTATTTTGTTCACTTGACCAAGTTTGTTATTGTTAATAAGCAAAAGGTAATGTGATTTTAACAACTCAAATTTGATGGAATGGTAGATTGTAGTGGTAGTGTTTGGTTGTGGAGTAGTATAATTCATGCAGCATTTGTAAACTAATTGATCAATTTCATATTTAACCAATTGAATATTCTTTGCATTCTTTCTTGGACATTTGATTAAAACATTATTGGTTCTTTTCAAGGAGTAAGCATTTGGTGAAGTTTTGTTGGAAGAAAACTTGATGTAAACATTGAATTTCTTCATAATACCTTGAATAATTGAACCACCATTACCAATGATTGATTTATGGAAAACTTCTGGGATGTTGAACTTCAATTCCAGTGGCATTTCCAATTCCAACAACTCTAAAGCTTGAACAACGATTGGGACATTATTAGTAACTTCAACATCAATGTAAAAATTGTATTCATTGAAAGCAGTGAAGTTGATCTTCGGAATGTTTTGTAATTGATTCAAAATTTTAATCAACTTACCATTCTTCTTACCAGTAATAAAATCACGTTGATCGTTGCCCATTTCTAATCTCAATTTGATAGCCATGGAGTTTGATGCCAATTGAGCCAAAATTGGTTTAAATTCATCGGAACGACCTACAACTTGTAAACCAAATTGATTGAATGTAACAACACAAGTTTTCTTTAATTGAATCAATTGGGTTAATGCCAACTCATTTATTGGACAAACAGCATCCATAGAGTAATAATTGGCTGCGATACCATTAATATCGTTAACACAATCATTAACTGATTCTGGAATACATCCTTGGACAGTAATAGTGGCATTGTTCAATTCTCCCAAACTTGGCAATTGAATGAAAACTCCATATTTAAACATGATATTCAACAAGTCCTTTTGGTTATTCAAAATTATACTATCAAGTTTGATTTTATTCATGGTGATGGTCTTGGTTATTAATTCTCTCTTGTCAGAAATTAATTTATTCAAAATATGTTTGGCTAATAATAATTCACTAATGTTCTTAGCAGTTATCCAAATTTTCAAATCTTTATTGTTGGAAATAATGTTTGAATTAAACAAGTTTGGCAATAATTCTGGAACATAAATGTTAGCTTTAGTTTGCTTTGCAATTTGAAGGAAATTATATAAATCAACACCACCAAGAACTGGAATCATGGATAATGACATATCAATACAATCAATAGTGTAACCATTCAACAATGAATCAATCAAGATCCTCAATGCAGTTTCACACAAGGTAATATTATCTTTTTTACCAACAATATGCAACGAAAAATCTTTGTGATTAGAAGATTTGTGTTGCTGTTGAAGGAATGAGTTTTTATCATTGTTAATGATAAGTTCAACATCATAACGTTGACTCAATTTAATCATATCATTGGTGAATGCTTCATCAATACTCATAAATTCAACTTCAGTCAAATTCAATGTCTTGTGTCCAACTTGATTATAATTTGTCAAAATTTGGTGTCTAGCATCGTTACAGAATTGTTCATTTCCATGAATAGATACTGAAATTAATGGATTAGCAATTGATGGATCAACAATGGTAATGTAATTCTTGGTAGATTTTCCAAGTTTGGATTGAATATTGTTGATTCTTCTAACAATTTTATGCAAGACATGCAAGTTATCAATCATCTTATAAGAAATGGTAGCGTCTAATGATTCGGCAGTGTAGTCTCTCCAAATACCGTTATGAGTTTCATAATAAGTGATAATGTCGGTATTAGTAAACTTTGGATCAAGAACAAATGAATATTCTAATGTTTGAATAATAGTATTTGAAGACATGGTATCAAGATTTAAGTGAATAATGAATGAAAGAAAGAAACAGAAAGAAATATATGAAAAGTGAAAAGTGAAAAGTGAAAAAAAAAGTAGAATTTAATGAAAAATGCTAATAGAATAAAATGTAATGGGTATCAATAATGGAGGGGGGGGAGAAATAGTGGGATTTGAAGAACCTTTATTTCTGGATGAGTTAATTTTGCTTATTATTTTAATGAAAAAAATATAAACTAAGTTGAAGGAAAAAGGAAGACTATTTATTTGATTTATTTAATTTTGACAATCAAGATGGTGATGATTTTCTATGATTTATATGTGAAAATCAGATCTACTAATAATGCATCGACTAATTAGGAAATTTTTTCTTTTATTTTTTAAATTGGGTTCCCAGGAAGTGGAGACCACAAAATCTATTGTTTACAATATTTATACTTTAGGAAATACGCACTTACCACAAAATCATCTTTACTGCCACCATACAGGACAATTTCCCAATTGGGTAATTTAATTGGTAATTTAACTACCTGCAGGACTCTGCTAGCTGTTGAAACAGCACTATTGATCCTCTACCCCTAATTAGAAATAATTGACATGTAAATCCTTACCATTTTAGGCACATGAATAATATATTACGTTAACTTTTTTTTGTTTTCTTTTACAAATTATCCTTTTACTGTTTGTGGAAAGTAACAGAAAGACTAGATCTTTTGTCACAACTGTAGAAAGATACAAATAATGGAAAATAAACATTCGATAGATGTTTGTTTAGCCTTGCTTTGGTTCAACTGCATAATCTTCTACATTGACATTTGAAATTGAAAATCTTCTATGAAATCAAATATTTGTGTTAAGTAATAAAGCACAAATGTTCCAAATAGGAAGTTCTTGGGAAGCCACAGACGAATTTTCTTTACATTTCGTTGGAACCTGATCTAGAAAAATAATAAACAAAGACAATTGATTTCTACGTCATCGTCGATTTCGTTAATATTATTTCTTCCTTCTACGATCCTACCCCCTTTATTTTTTTTTTTGGTTGACTTAATATTCCAGTCACCGCCCCTCTAAATGCGTTTTGTTTGATGAATACGTTTCTATAAATAAGTTACCTGATATTATTACTACTTTTAAACTAAATATCTATTTGAATTCCAAACATGGACCATTTCATCCCATCCAGTAGTACCTATCCAACCAGGTTCACCCCAAAGACTATAATCACAATCCATGACAAATTCTGAATGAGCCAGGAAAACTGCCTTTAGAGGAGCTCCAGCTCTTAAAAATCTTGCTCTTTCATCAGCAGAATCTCTCCAAACCATTGATGTCATATCATAACTTGCAGAAACCAATTCTTTACCATCAAATGGACTCCATTTAACTCTTTTTACCGCCATTTGATGTCCATGAAACAGATTAAGTGGACTTGGTCCACGTATATGAGGAGTATCACTTATTATTCTGAAATCCCAAATCAGAACAGATTTATCTGATCCACCTGAAGCTAATATCGTCGGACGGTAAAAATTTGGACTTACCAGTAATACTTCAAACCCACTATGGGCGGTAAATTCTTTTTGTAATGGATTTCTATCTCTTATATCCCAAATTTGAATTTTACCTGCACCAGTGCAACTAAATATCTGTGATGGGGAATGAGGGGAGAATTGAGCTTCATAAACACAATTAGTTGTATCAATAGCTTGATGTTTAGGTTGATGATGCACTGGAGGTGGTGCTTGACCTTGAGCTTGTAATGGAGCTATTTTTGTTGAATAATCAGGATGATTTGCTTGTAAAGTAAGAAGTGATTCTGGTCTATTTGGTGAAAATACTTTAATTTGTCCATCCCAACTACTTGAAACAAAATTAGTTTTATCAACAAGATTAAAATTAACTGCAAATACTTCACGTGAATGTTCTTTCCATTGCATAACTGGGAATTCTGGTACATTTAAATCAAACATTTTAATACTTCCATCTCCCGATGATACAACAACTTGATTTTCATTGATTTCTGACCATGCTACTGAAAATAATCCATCTTGTGTCATCCAAGATCTTTGTTCATGAATAACCCCACTTGGTTCAATACTTAAGATAAATAATTTCCCATTACCTACTAAACCGTAATTTGCAGATGTAGCCACAGCTATTTTGTTATCAAAAAATGGAGAATATTGTATTCCATACCCATTAAACCCTTTAGTACGAAACGAAAGCATTATTGGTTTGAATAAATATACCTGGGGGATTGAAAATCTGGAGTAAAACTAGTGAGAGTCAAAAAAAAAAAAATTATGGCAAAAAAAGAAAATTTTTATTTTATTTTTTTCTTGCCTTGGTTCTCTCAACGTCTATGACTCCCTCGACGTGATGCTCGCTTGGTTTGATGGCCACTTTTGGCCGCGGCTAAAAGTCCCCGTTTTCGGTACGATTTAGATAAATATTGTGTCAATACAGGGCTTGGATTGTATTAAACTATATACAGGTTAAACCTATCTAGACCTATAAATCAAAAGCTTTAGTATCAAGGTATTTGATGTCTTGCAAGTGCTTCTCATCAATGTCTTTCTTATCAACAATTCCAAATTGAATAAGATCTCCCAAAATCAAGTCGACTTTTTGATTGGCATATTTTAAATAGTCAAATTCATCATCACTTGAAGTGATGATTTCCACTTCTGTAGCACCATTTTTATCAACAGTTACAACAGTGCTATTGCGAGGACTAGATTCATCTGTATCGCCATCAACAGTGAAATTATAAGTACTATTGATACCTTGCTCAGATCCATTGGAGTGTAATTGGGGTCTTATTGGACCATTTTGAATCAACCCCCATAAACACCAGAAAATTTGTACAGATGCACGCCAATAGATACACTCATTGTATAATTTTTCAATTTCAAATTCCATAAGAGGTACTGGATCTGTTGAATTGTTGAAAAGTTCTTCTGGCTTTTTGGATGTCTTCAAGTTTGAGGAAGGATATTGGAAGTCATATTCAACATATGATTTGATCATGTTTAATTGTTCTGACTTGGTTGGGAAATTTTTGTTGTGGATAAAGTATGACTTTTCTGGATCATGATAATCTGACATCCATTCTGAGAAATGATTTACAATGTCAAATGCAGGGAAATTAGCACCAGAATATTCAAAATCAATGACAACTAAATTTGCATCCTTCTTGTGTGAAGAAGCCACCTCTCCATCAATGGACAACGATTCAATGAGAACATCTTCTGGGTTGAATGATTCATGTAATAACAAATTACCATATTGGGTATCATTATGACAAAATTTATAGTTGGAAAGAAAATGCTCAGTGTCATACTTGTTAAACAACCATTCTTTATACTTGGCAACATATTCCTTGAATTTGGAAAATTCAACCACAAAAACATTTTTTGGATCATAATTTGCTTGTAAATATCCAGGTAATAATTCAGTTTCAAAAATTCTTAACCATTTTTCAATCAATTTCCAACAAGTTGGCTCAGCTGTAAAATCATGACTATCCAATTCAATTTTATAATGCAAGTCTTTCATTCTTCTGCCCAACATTTGTGAGAGGACTTTATCTCTAATTTGTTCTTTATTCAAAGTAACAAATCCATCTAAAAATTGTTCAAATCTACCATTTGAAAATATCCCCAATAATCTTGGACCTATTCTCTTTTGGGATAATTTAACCAAAATTGCCAATTCATTGTCTCTATCAATCAATTCGTCGACATTTTTACCATAAACTCTTAATAAAAGTGCAGGAAGATGGATATTCTGAGCTTCGTCATGGTATTCTAATTTATAAATAGAATTAGTTAGTGCACCTGATATTCTATTCACAGTCAAATGTTGAGCCAATAATTGACGTTTATGCCATTTACTAATTCGCAAAGTTTTGGTTAATGCAATGATATCTTGTTTAAAGAAATCTAAAGGTAATGAATTATCCAAATAAACCTGAACTGAAGGAACTGAACGTTCTTGATCTACTTGAGTTGTGGTGATAGTGAGTCTATTCAAAGAAGATGATGATAATGATCTTCTATGCAATGATGATAAGCTTGATCTTCTTGATGCACTGGTAGATCTTGAATTTGCCGTTGAATTTCTTGTTCTCGATCTTGATCTAGACCTTGATTGTTCCTTAATATTAGCTGGTGATATCTCCATTCTTATCTATACTCCACTTGTTGTCTGTTGTATTCTGTAAATAGCAAGTATCTGCTTTTCTTTTTCCTGGTTGCCTTTTTTTGGTTTTTCTTTTCTTTTCTATTCTTTTCTTTTCGGTGCTAGAGCGGGGGACCAACAGATTCAAAATTTAAGCTAAAAAAATTTTCATTCGCACTGATAAGCATTGCTGTTCGGTGTCGTGGTAATTCCTGGCGAGGTGGCGGCGACGATTTTGTTGGGTTGCGCACACGACTATTTACTTAAATAATACATTATACGAATGATACTGCTACCTATATGCAAAATGAAATTAAAGTTAATGGTTGTATTAAAGTTGAAGCAACAATGGTTATTACAGAAAAAATTGATTAGGTGTATTATGAAAATCGATATAGGCAGAGTAATAATGTTAAAGTCACAAGCCATCCACCAGAGAATAAGCAATGAGAAACGAGGACAATGTCACGTGGGCGAGGTTAGATAGCCAAAACATCACTAGTTAAATGTTTACCATTGGTATCAATGTGACGATTTTCTGTTATTGTGTTCTTGCAACAATGATTCCCTAAACCTTATTATCGTCTAATTTGAGACACCTTGTGATTAGATTGAAATTGACGATATGAATGACTATACTTTCAAACTAACAACCAAATAGGAAGAAAGAAAGAAAGAAAAAAATGCCACATTATGAAAAGCTGGAACAAAAAAAAAAAATAGGAATCAAAATTTCGTCTTCTCATCTTTGGTAACATTCACATTTTCTTTCTACCACCAAAGACAATAATCTTGGTATAATCATTATCGAGTATGGGTTTTGTTGTTTACCTATCCTTAATTGGGATACTTGTATTTGGGGTGATTTTCCAACTCCAGAATGCAGAGATTCAAAAATTGAAAGAAACAAATAAGAAAATTTCAGCTCTTATTGAAACCATTCAAGATGATCTTGATTCAAAGAATAATGCTTTGAAAGAACTTGAAAGATCCCACAAGGAAACAGCTAAAGAATTAACTACGACTACTTCTGCCAAAGATCAATCAATTAAGGCTTTGGAATCCAAATTACTTGATGTTAGTAACAAGTATCACGCGTCAATTCAATCTGAAGCCAAATCAAAAGCTCTTCATCAAGACAACAATTCCACCATCAAGAAACTTAAGGAAGAAATTGAAGAATTAAAAGCTAAAAGGGTTTCAGAAGAAGAGCTTAAAGTGAAATTGGAAAAGCAATATGATTTTAAGTTGAATTCTGAAATTGAAAGATTGATTGTTGGTAAAGATTTGCAAAACACTCAATTGTCGGAAAATATTAAAAGTCTCAACGATTTGCTAGAGACTAGAAATAAAGAATTCAATAAATCTGAAGAAACTAACAGTCAAATTATCTCTGAATTGAAGCAATTGGCTGACAGTATTCAAAAGAAATTGGATGCTAAAAGTCTTGCATATGATAAATTACAAGTTATTAATGATTCACAAAGAGAACAATTTGAAACTAAAGATGCAAGAATTAAAGATTTGGAAGAACAACAGAAGAGAGATAATGAAAATTTTGTTGCCGTTTCAGACAAGTTAGCTAGATCTGAAGAATTGGTTGCCGAATTACAAGAGACAAAGAAAGAATTGGAAGAAACAGTTAAACATCAAACTGAAGTAATTGATGATGATTCAAAAGTGTTGACTTTATATGAAGAAAGCATTATCAGTTTGAATGAATATTTATCAAAACAAAATCAAAAAGAAAACATTATTTCCGATCAATATTTTGTACATTCGAATGATGAAGTTAAAGAAATCTGTGTAACCACCCGTACTTATATTGATGCTTTAACAGAAAAAATAGCAAAACTTGTTGAATCTCAGGAGTCAACTTCCAAAGATTTAAAAGCAGCCAACGATAAGTTGACAGAATTAAATGTTCACAATGTTACTTTTGGATGCCAATTGTTAACCAACTTGGAAGCATTGGAAGAAGCACTTGCTGGAAAATTAAGTCAAGAAGATCAAAAGGAAGTCAGTGCAAAAATTAAAAGCATTACCGGACAGTTTTCTGATTCTCAGAAACCTAAAGAGGATGCTTTTGAACAAAATGGTGCTGAAAAGAAAACAGAGCCAGATACCAGTAGGTCAGTCGATGAAGAAATAACCACACCTGTTGTGAAATCCAAGGAATTGGTCATTAATGACGATCCAGTTGATGAAGTTAACAAAGACGCAGAATCTGTTGAAGATATTCCAACATCTTATGACAAAGAAACTGAAGTTACGCCAATTGAAGAACCGGTAATTGTAACAACCGAGGAAAAAATTGTCGAAGATAAAACCGAAGCTCCAAATGCCGAAGAACCAGTCGCCTTGGAAACAGAATCCGCTGGCGTTATTTCAGATGTAAAACCGCTGGAAGAAAAGAAAGAAGTTGAAGCATTGACAGAGGACTTTGCCAAAGAAGCAGATGGCAAATTTATTGAAGACGAACCAGAAGTTGAGACAGAATTGGAAAAGAAATCTGATGAGAAGGAAATTGAAGATGAACCAGTTGTTGAAGAACCAAAGGATGAAGAAGTTAACTCAGAGGCATTTGAAGAAATCAATGAAAAATTCACTGAAACTTCTGATGAAAAGACAATTGCTGATGATGCCCATGAAGAGGGAAAAGAAATTGAAGAACCACAAGTTGAAGAACCACAAGTTGAAGAACCACAGGTTGAAGAGCCACAGGTTGAAGAACCACAAGTTGAAGAACCACAAGTTGAAGAGCCAGCGGTCGAGAAACTGAATGTCAAAGAAGAAGAAGAAGAAGAAGAATTGGCAGAAAAATCTGGAGAAAAACTCATCCAAGATACACCAGTTAATGATGAGTTACATGCAGAACCCGCTGCTGTAGAAAAGGTAAAAGATGGTTTAGTGGAAGATTCTGAAGAAAAACTTATTGAAGATGATTCAACAACAGATCAAACTCCAGTTGAAATTACCAATGTTGAAGATCCAAAAGAGGTTGAGTCAAAAGAAGTTGATCCAAAAGAGGTTGAGTCAAAAGAAGTTGAGTCAAAGATTGAAGAACAAAAGGAAGTAGAAAACGTGACTGACAAACCAAAGGATGAACAAAATGATGAAGTTTCTAAAGTTGAAGAATCCAAGGATAAAGATTTGAAAGTTGAAGAATCGAAGGATGAAGGTTTGAAAGAAGAGGAACCTAAATTTGAGCAAGAAAAAGAAAAGTCTGATGATTTAAAGACCGAAGAGGTGAAGAAATCTGCTCCAGAAGAAAATGATTCAAAAACAGTTGAATCAAGCACTGAAGAGTCAAAGGAAGATGTTCCAAACACTGATGATCCACAAGAATCAAAAGAACATTTGGATGCTTCAAATGCTGATTTAAATAAGGAAGGTACCGGCGACGATGATGAAGATGAAGATGAAGACGAAGATGACGACTATACTACTTCCAACACTGAATCAGAAGCTACTCCAGCACCTGAATCTTTACCAACATCGTCCTCTTCAGCAGGAAGTTCAAAATCACCAAAAAAAAAGAACAACAAAAAGAAAGGAAAGAAAAAGAACAAGACTACATTTTAGAAGACTTTTAGTTTTAATTTATATAGATATATAAGCAGACGTGTGTGTGTGTGTAAACCGTATCATCTAAAGCATGTGTAGATGATTTAATAATTTGATTAGACAATAATCTCTAGTGTTTACGAAATTGAATCCTGTTTGGGAATGTCAATGCGAGACATACCACTCTCATAAAGCATCTTGTGTTCTATTTATATCACCGTGTACCCAATAGAGGTGGTTATGTAATCTGCTCGTCGTTTACCCTTTGCCACGTCAGTTTTTTTTTTAAAAAAAAAACGAAGTATTAAATAGAATCTGTTTTGAGCCCATTTCCCATGGGGTCATAACATTACACAACATAACCTGACCAACCTAAATAGAAAAACTAGAAAAATTTTAACAGAGGCGATTTGTTATGGCCCCAAAAAAACTAAAAAAAAAAAAAAAAGAAAATATTGTTTTTAGAGATAAGAAGAACATGACACTAAAAAAAAAAGAGGACAATCAATCAACCACGAGAATATTCTTCTTCTTCTTCTTCTTCTCCTTCATTACCCCCACCAATCCCCTCCTTTTTGTTTACATATGACCTGAGTGTAGTATTGCGATGATCACTTGTTTATATTGCTCTACCTCTTGTATTACACCAATTGGAATATTGCCCTCAGGAAATTGGGTGTGATTCCTGATACGGATCATGAAATGAAAGTAAGAGAGAAAGAAGTGTACTGTAGAGTTAGACTAGCGGGAGTCTGGGTTTGGTTGAGTTGAGTTGTTCAAGTGAAGACCACTTTGTACTATAAAAGCATAATTCAAATTTACAAGTTAAGCGCAATTGCTTTCATGTACAAGAAGCCCATTATTATTATGCACAAAGATAAGGGAATTTGTCTTTTATATAGAACGCAACAACAACAACAACAGCAACAAACAACAATAACAATAATAACAATAATAACGACGGATTACTCATTAGTGAATAGTATTATCATTCAAAATCACTTGCTGTGTTTAAATACTGTCGAAGGTGTGTTTATATTTCCATGAAGTGATTCACTGTATAATCTAAACATCTAGTGTTCTCTTTTTATTTTTTTTTTGCCGTTTGATTAACTGAGGGGGGAAGGAACCGGTTGCACAATAGGATATTATTTCCGCTTCTAATACATAAACTTGGAATTTCATTTTTTCTAATTTAAACAGAAAATTTTTCTTTTTTCAAAATTATCTAATATTTATTCATTTCTTTTCATTATCACCATTTAGTTGGATCCATGGATTATGGCTGTTACAATTGATCAATTACACTATTATAACAATAACAATACCCCTTCCACCACCTCCCCATCATTATCACCACCATCAGAACAATTCATAATGCCTTTGAAAGCACTACCGATAAGAGATAAGACGCGGGATATTACACATCTTTCTGCTCAACAGTACTATAATGATCTATCACCACATCATCATCATCATCATCAACAACAACAACAACAACAACTAAGGCGTAAATCATTCAAAAGTATAAAAATGCAGAGATCTTTTAGTATCAGTAGTATAAAAAGTAATAACTCCGTGGAATCGCATCCATTAACTTACACCAACAATAATCATCAAGGTTTAGATGACTGCGAGAAAATGGAACTAGATGAATATGATTCGGATGAAGTGTCTTGTAATTCCTGTCTGTCTACTCCATCGAAATCAAACTTTAGTTTCCTGTTTGATACCCAATCATTAACTATTCCAAGTATACCCATACAAAAACCACAATCATATTCAAATACATCAATACTATCATCACTGACAGGTTCCACTCTCAGCTTATCTATTCCCACGGGTGCTCCATCTTCATTCCCGTCAAGAGCATATATTCCTACATCTACAAGCACTGTTTCTTGCTCGCCAGTCACTACCGTTTCTATACCTGCATCTACATCGTTACCATCAACTTCCGGAAGAGACAAGAGCTTGTGTCGTTCTCCTTCTAGTGATTCGTTGTATGTGATATTAAAGAAGTCCACTCCCAGTCCATCCCCACTTGGAAACAACTCCGGTGTAAAGTCCATGTACTCCAACCTCACATCATCTTTGAAATCATTCAGAAACAAGTTGTCTTTGTATAATAAAGAGAATCTTATTAGTTATATCGTGGATTCACCTCGACTCACAGATGACAAACTCCCACAAATTCCAGAATTGGAAAACGAGGTTGTGAATGAAACTGGTGAATCTGATGATCCGGTTGACCAAGATCAAGTGATGCAAGAGTTGACAACGTTTAAAAGTTCAGAACCTCATCACTGTAGTAATAAGCTAGGGCTCACGAGAGTTAAATACAAGACTAGGGAACAACGATCAAATAGAGAATTTTTACGATTATATGCATTTGATCATCATGCCAGAACCAAATCACTGGTGTTGCCAAATTATATGAGTCATGATGAATTAAAAAGATTGATTGTTATTCGTCCACATTTGAAAGAATTCCATTATGAGTATAACATTCATAGAATATCAAGTTTATCTAAAGAAAAGCTTTGGAATAGTGTTATTTTGCCTCCACGTAATGATGATAGTCCGAGGTTGTTTATAGATGGAGAGAATTACATCTGTATTGAAGAAGTAGATGAGGATGAATTATCGCTGGGCTATTCTATCGTACGAAAACAAGGAGGATATATGCCCTGGGTTTTGAAACAAAGTATCAGACCAGCTGGTGTATTACCTAAAAGTAAGTGTATTTTTAATAGTGAAGCTCCAAATAGTGGAGTAACTAATTGTCAATTCACTGTTAAAGGCTGGTGTAACCCTAGATGGGTTGATATCAGTAAAGAATAATAAATAGGTTTTCTTATTTGATTTGTATTGTGAGTTTTAATCTAATTTAATTTAAGTTAAGTTAATTTCATAAGGATCTACAGACCCTTGACTTTTTAATTACCCCCTTCAACTTTTTTGTAGTACGATAAAGATAAACATGATTGCTGCATCTCTACTTCCTTGCAAGCCGAAACCTCGTAGTCACAGGATCCTACACCCCCTTGAATCCGTTAGAAGACTTATTGAATTTTACTTTCTTACATAATACAAACTTGTTGGGTAATAATATGATGCAATGATCATGTTGAAAAAGTTAGTTAATATTACTATATTAAGTAAGACTCAATAGGATTGTTAATCATCTATTGTGTTGAGTCAGATTTGGAGTCGTGCATGTGTGTTGTTCCATGCGGAAATAATGGATTCCCGTAATTCCATCTACACATCCGAGTGTATAAATCGCACTGTTGATTTTAACGGAGTTAAGTTCTCACTGTAGTTCAGTAGATCACAAAAAATATAAATATCAATATGAACCAGTGGATTTTAACTCCTACCTACCACCACCTATTATTGTACTGCTACCCTACAACTGCCGTGTGAACTGTACATTACATCTACAGGAAATAAAAAGAGTAAGGGTAAATTAAAGGAAATGAAATCAGATCCAAGAAATTGTGAAAAAAAAAAAAAAAAAAAATGCAAAAAAATTTTGTTGAGTAAAACAAAAAATAGTTGGATCGACGATATCTTGTTCCTTGTCTAATTATTCAAAGATATGTAAAGAATATTTTCACACTGCTAAATAACAGGTTAGACCACAGATGATGTTCAACGGTAAATTGGAGAATATTCTCTAATTATAACTTTATCCCTTTTCTCACTCTCTATCTCTCTCTACTCCGCCAGTCATTTTAATCGTAATAAATAGCAATTGTTACAGTTGATTACCCAAAAAAAATATCCTACATTTTGTTACCAACGCTTAATTTTTCTCATTGCATTCCGCCCGAAACCGCTACCGGTAACTCCACGGCCACGGCGAGGGCTACGGCCAGCTCCACCACGAGGAATTACTTCTGTGATTGCTCGACCGCCCCACGAATTACAAAACAGCGATGGGCAAAAACAAACAATGCGCAACAAATAGAAACAAAAGAAATTTTGTTTTTTTTTTGCTCTTAGTCCGAAAATGGCAAAAATCAATTTGTATAAATTTATCAACTCTCTCCCCAAAAATAAAAAAGAACAAAAATTAAACCAACAAGGGAATACTTTTCAAAGTCGTTTTCCAATTCATATCCTTTTCCTTTTCGTTCTTTTCGTTCTTTTGTTTGCATAAAGTTCAATAACTATTCTTAATAATGTTAACTAAATTCAGGCTTCCAGAAGCTAATGTTTGGAACTCTTTACCATCTCCAAATACTCCAGTTCCTGAAAGTCCATTCACCAATGAATTTTTATCCCAAATTTTTTATTCTTCTTTAAAAGTTAGAACTCCTTTAACTATTGCTTTAGTTTATTTCACTTCTGTTCATTTCATTAATTCTTTAGTTAGAGCAAGACAAATCAAAAAGTTCAATCAAACTAGTGAAAAGAAAGTTACTGCCGATGAATTATCTGAAAAACAATTGAAAAAATTACCTGCTGCCCCTTATGCAATTGCTAAGACTTCATTATTTAAATTTTTTGTTTTAGCTCATAATGTATTCTTATGTTTATATTCTGTTTGGACATTTATTGGTTTCACTTCAACTATTGGTTCAATTATGAATTTGTTTGAAGGTAATTTCTTGTCTAGTTTATCAAATTATAAACCTCAGAAATTGGATATTTTCATTCATTCTGTTTGTGATGCTGAAAGTGGTGTCTTTTCAAGAATTTTAAACAATGAAGGTTTCCATAATTTGGAAATTTTTGGTTGGTGGTTTTACATGTCTAAATTTTATGAAGTTTTAGATACTGTTATTATTTTATTGAAAGGTAGACCAAGTTCACTTTTACAAAGTTATCATCATGCTGGTGCTATGATGAGTATGTGGGCTGGTATTAGATATCAATCCCCTCCAATTTGGATCTTTGTTGTTTTCAACTCATTTATTCATTCATTGATGTATTTTTATTTCTCATTAAGTTGTCTTCATATTAGAGTTCCAACTTTATTTAAAAGAGTTTTAACTAGTTTACAAATTACTCAATTTGTTGCTGGTGGTTCTATTGCAGTTTTGCATTCTTTTATTTGGATTGTTGATTCAAGTGGTGTTTTAACTGATGACGAATTGAAATGGGTTAGTTGTATCGGAGCTCCAGAAAAGGCTTTACCAATTTTAATTAACGTTGCTTATTTAATGCCTTTAACTGCTTTATTCACTGCATTTTATATTGAAAGTTATTTAAAGAAGAAAGCTGCTCATTGATATTATTATGAGATCTCCTTCTAATAATACAGATATAAATTCATAAACATTAATTACGTTAGACTATATTTTATTTAGAAGTTATTGTTCCTACTCAAACTGTATATATGATTGATTAATAAATGGACTCTGTTTTTCGTTTCAAATAATTGCAAAAAAAAAATGAATGCCAAACTATGTAAACCCCCTCAAGCAAATTGATGCGAATTTTATACAAGGCTAACACTCGCTTCCTTTGTTTTTTACTTCTCTTGTGTGGGGAAAGTTGTGGCTTAGTTGACTAAAAGAAAGATGTAAAAGATTCTTATCCAAGTTTAGATTATTCTGATTCAAGTAAAGCTTTTCTTGGTCGTCTTGACAGAAACATTTTCTATCTTTGTCACAAACGATTCAACTCCTCGTAACCATTCATCATAAAGATAATGGGGGAATAATAAGATTTAATTGAAAAATGTCCAATTACAGCTTACGGGTGAAAAACCTCAAAGTTGTAACGACTCTGGAGTATTGTCCTTTGATAGTCATATCTTTGTGTGTAATAAAATTCTTACTAAGGCGTACAAATTTACTTTAATTAAAACAAAAATATAAATAGAAAAAAAAAAAAATTTTTTTATCAAGCTAATAAGTACAAGGAATATCATCTGAAGATGATTATTGTATATAAGAGATCTAGAGTTGAAGTTAGGATAGGATAACCCTTTATAAATCAAGATATGACATATTTTAATCAAAATTAAAGGAGATTGGCAAACTCTTTGTTGTGCCATGAATAGACATATTAAATGAGCCAATTATAGAACAAGAGTAAATAATATAAAATGTAACCAATATTTCAAACTTTAAAAATTAATAAATGCCTCATGAATAGTTAGTTAGTTAGTTAGTTAGTTAGTTAGTTAGTTAGTTAGTTAGTTAGTTAGTTAGTTAGTTAGTTAGTCAGTACTGCAATGTAGTCGAGGATTGGATTGCATTGGATTGGATTAGCTGAACATCAATCAACAATAAAAAAAAACGCGAAAAAAATAAAAAACAAAAAAACGCAATTCTTCTTTCATAACAATGGTCATAATAATGTATGGCTTACACCAATGATCATGATATTCAATACACGAATGGGTCGTGACATCATAACCCTGATTTTCAAGCTCTTTTCAATGGCACCAAAAAAATCATAAAATTTTATGGTCATTGAAAAGCTATCAATTTTTTATTTTTATGAATGAATGAATGGTTTTTGTGCGACAATATCCCCGATACAATTTTTGATTGTCATCTAAAATACACTTCTTTAGGAATGTATGTAAATGTTTAGTATTATTATGAATTATGAATTATTTACTTCACAAATCGAATGAGTCAAATTTGTAAAAGAAAAATTTTCGTCAAACATAATTGTATAAATAGTCTAGTATATTCTAGACGGGGGATTTTGAAAAGAATTTTTTTTTTTTTTTTCTTTCTTTTTTATTTTTTGTTATAAAGTACTTCATACACGATTTTGTTGCATTTTGGAATTTAACAACCATTTACCAAAGATGATGAATTTGTTTTTGATTTTATTAGTGATATTCCCATTTTTTAAATTGTAACGAAGATCCAACTTCTGATCATTGTGATAATATTTATACCTGGGAAGATGATGATAATGTTGAAACAGTTGCATCTAAAGTTAATGTAAGTGTTGATGATCTTATCAAATACAACCCTATTCTTGGGCAATATAATTTAGCTGAAGGAGAGGTAATCTGTTTAACAAGATGGAATGTTCTGTCGTGTGGAACTTATCCAACGTGCTACTTTTCAAACCCTGACAAATTCTGTGACACTTAAACCATTGATAATGAGAATGTGAATATTACCTGTCAAGAAATTTGTGATCAATTTGACATTTCACTTTACGATTTACTTGATTTTAATCGTCATAATGATAATTTTTTAAGTTGTCCTTCTGGTTGGTTTATGGATGGTGATACATTTTGCGTTTCTAAACCAAATTTCACAGCATGGGACAATTGTGTATCGTTAGCTCAACTTGATCAAAATACTGATATGGTAGATAATTCCATGTTAATGGAGGAAACTTACACAATTAGCCCTTTAGCTTCAGATTCATCTATAACTGAAAGGTATGAGTATTTCTACGACACTTCACTTTCATCTTATACAACCAGAGCTATCGATGCTTCTTTAGAAGTGGGACAAGCTTCCGATCAAGAAAGTGAATTTCTTCTGGAGACAAATCAAAGTGATGTTTTTGATACAACAAGCACCTCCAGTACTGCTTCTAGTACTACTTCTGCAACTAGGTCTTCTTCTGCTGCTTCAATAACTAGTATTCCTAGTGCAAGTAGTTCAGTTACTACTTCGCCTGATTCTGAAACAACAGTTTCAAGAGGTGATGCAGCATCTTTAAAAATGTTTGGAATTGCTTTTGTTATTACATTTGTGTCTTGTCTTTTATAATCATTAATAGAAAATAACTAAACCATTTATATAAATGAATAAACATCACATGACTCGGATTACACGCGTTTAATTTTTTTTCTTGCCTTTTTTCTGTTATCAATATAAGAAAAATCTATGATGTCATACTTGGGAATGAATGTTGTGTTTTTCCTGTATATAACCATGATTGCCATGTACAATTTCTTTGTTGATTGATTGTAAATAGAAATCTACAATCTATTCAAGGAAATATTTCAAACGAAAACTGAACAGCAAATAAAACAAAAAGATTTGTTCTCCTTTAAGTTTATTGAAGATCAATGGTTTGCAAATTTTTTTGTTTATTTAATTAATCAAGCATGTCATATGAAAGAGTACTGAATATAGAGAATCCCTTTAAAGATGACGATTCTGCTACACTTTATGAGAATAATCACGACGACAACATAATCACGGGTGGTTCACAAACTAGTAGTACGCATGAAGATGATAATATCTTTGGTGATAACAAATCTGAAGTTACTCATTACACTCCCGATATCAACACCAAGAATGAGAAACACAAAAGGGGAGTTGAGGATCAAGAGGACGGGGAAGACATCGTGTTGACTGATATTCATGGGAATTTCATCCCAGTATCGAATTCCAGCTCAGAAGAGGAAGATCCGTTTTCAGATGATTTTGGCAATAATTACCTGCATTTAGATTTCGACAACAAACGATACACGTCCAAGTTAACATTCAAAGGGTCGAGACTAGTGTACTTCACATCGGCATTTGTCAGTTTGTTTCTTGCCTTGTTTGGTGCCGAACAAGCCTCGTGTTCCGGGTTGATTGTATTTGATACGTTTAATAAATATTTCAATCACCCGAGTCCTGCCACCATCGGTGTGGTGGTGTCGATCTTAGAAATTGGTGCCATGTTGAGTTCGTTGTCGGTGGCCAAGATCTCGGATTTGTTTGGCAGGAAAAGAACCATTCTTCTTGGGACATTCTTGTTTATGGTTGGTGGGAGTTTACAGACATTTTGTCCCAACATGTTTGTGTTTGGTGTTGGAAGAGTGTTTTCTGGGTTTGGTGTGGGGATTCTATCAACGGTGGTTCCGTCGTATCAGTGTGAAATCAGTCCAAGTGAAGATCGTGGCAAGTTGGTGTGTGCTGAGTTCACCGGGAATATCACTGGGTATGCCATGAGTGTGTGGATTAACTATTTCTGTTATTTCATCCAGGACATTGGTGATACTAGAGACAAGCCCCATTCGTTTTTGGCCAACTTAAGCTGGAGGTTGCCGTTGTTTATCCAGGTGGTCATCGCGTTTGTGTTGTTTCTTGGTGGGTTTTTCATTGTGGAATCGCCAAGATGGTTGCTTGACAACGACATGGACCAACAGGGGTTCCATGTGTTGGCATTGTTGTATGATTCCCACAGTGACGACAGCAAACCAAGGAATGAGTTCTTCATGATCAAGAATAATATCCTCCAGGAAAGAGAAACCACCCCGAAGCTGCAACGTACATGGAGACACTTGTTGAGTCATTTCAAGATCCGAGTCTTTGTTGCTTGCTCGTCGTTGATCTTTGCCCAGTTCAATGGTATCAATATCATCTCGTACTATGCACCATTGGTTTTTGAGCAAGCGGGGTTCAACAACTCCAGTGCGTTGCTCATGACGGGGATCAATGGGATTATTTACTTGTTGTCCACGATTCCAACATGGTTCTTGGTTGACCGATGGGGAAGAAGACCCATTCTTATCACGAGTGGTATTGCCATGGGTATATGTCTATTCCTCGTGGCGGTGTTCATGCTCTTGGACAAGGGTTATACACCTACATTGGTGGCTATTTTAGTTATCATCTACAATGCATCGTTTGGATTTGGGTTTGGCCCGATCCCGTTCTTGTTGCTGAGTGAATCGTATCCGTTGTCAGTGCGTTCGAAAGGAGCTTCATTAGCCGTGGCGTGTAATTGGTTTAGTAATTTTGTTGTTGGGTTGATGACACCGATCTTGAAGGAACTGATCAAATGGGCGATGTACTTATTCCCAGCAAGTTCATGTGTGATGAGTGTTATTGTTGTGATGTTGTTCTATCCAGAAACGAAAGGAGTTGAATTGGAAGAGATTGATCGAGTATTTGAGGAGTTCTATGCTACGAGTACGATGAAGAGAGTGAAACTAAAAGGCTTACGTAGACGCAAGAGTAGAAAGAACAAGCATCAAGGGAAGTATAGTAGATTGAATGATGATGCCTTTGAGATGGTGGGATTAGATGAGATGGATTATGAAGATAACTATAGAGATGTTTAATATTGAAATGAATTATTATCCATATATACTTTTTATTATTATTATTATTATTCTTATTATTAGAGTATAATGTTACAGTATAATATTGGTTGCTATAGAGTTTTTTGTAAGTATTTTTACATCATCTTATGTTGATATTGCAGTTGGAACTATGTGTAACGCCGAGGGTCGGGTGCCTGTAAATTGAACTCCTCGTTCAACATACAACGAAAACTGACGAGAATAATGCAAGGCTAAGATTACATACAAGTGGCTTGAAATAATTTTCATGCAGATTATTCACAAATATCTAATAATAAAAATAAACCGACAAGGGGTTGGGTAGCGTGAGAATTATACAGTAAATTAAATTAAATTAAATCATTAACGACAATAACTAAACAAGTGTAACAAAATTAAAACCAATCAAAAAAATTTTTTGCGGTATTTTTTTTTTTTTTTTTTGCATTTACACAGCAATACTTTTTATATACATGAGATGAATCTGGTGAGTATTTGAATATGGTTGGATAGTTGATATCAATCTTACATACATTACATTCATACATACATATGAGTTGAAATTTGCGATTTAACTATTTATTAATACTACTGTACAAAAAGAAAAAAAAATATTCAAGACATTAGACGAACTAAATGTGAAACTTATTGTTAATAAATTATGTTACAGAGAAGATTGTTCAAAAATGAAATAATAGTAATTGCATTATCTTTGAGGTTAAACACACACATAATTCAGAACTAACAAGAAAGAAGAGTAATTTCAGGTAATATGAAATAAAAACGTTTTTTCTTGAACTATGATAGTAATAATAATAGTAGTATCGTCAAAGGAGGTGAAATATCCAAAAGTTGATTTCTTTGTCCAATTATATATATATTTGACATATTAAACAGAATACATATAAGAATGTATCATTACCAAAATCATAAGTTCTTTGAGTTCAATTTAGTGTAAGAGTAATCTGTATTATTACGTATTTGTATTTCCAGGGCAATAAATGGTAAGGACGAGACTATTGACATTTTCTCATTGGTTGATTCTACAAATATAGTCAGTTTCATTGTAGAATGTGTTTTATTTAAAATCATCATCATCATCATCGCTTAATTTTCGCCCCATTCATCAACCTCATCTCAAAGTATGATGATGATGATGATGGGGAGGAGGAAGGAATATCGAAACGGGGGAAAAAAAAGTAAAAATTGTTAATTCAAAAGAGCTGGCGGGTTGTGTGAGATTTAGTTTGGGTTTTCCGATAATCCCATGATTAGATAATCTCATCTCCACATTTTAGTCGAATCTCATCATCGGCATAGCCCTATCTGAACAAGAACATCATCATCATCATCATCATCAAGGAGGAGGAGGAATAACTCAGGAAGAGATGGATGACTTGGACAGAGATGAAATAATATCGTAATTCTCGGATCTTTGTCTTTTATTATTTTTTTTACTCGTAGTTTTATTGTTGATTAAATAGTCATTTACTAAATTCGTTGATAATGATACCATTCCAGGGGGGAGGGGGAGAGAAGGGGGATAACGCTAAAGAGAATTTTCTTTAGAGATTCGAAAGGGAGGGAGAATAAGAAGAATAAGAAGAACAAGAAGAATCTAAAGAGAATAACTAAGAATATAGTTATTGTAGTAGAAATGACTCTCAAAATATGATTGTACGATTCGGTTGGTTATTTATTATAAATTGACCTTACTATTAAACTATTAAAAAAGAAAAAAGAAAAAAAGAAAAACAGTGTTGAATAAGTGAAAACTTTTCCTTCTTGCAACCCGGCAAGACTCCCAGAGTTCCTGGTCACGAGTACACGCCATTTGCCTCACTGCACGCCTGTGTACTGCATATACAGAGAGTTTCACAAAGAGGGAATTCCACTTTACTCAAACAGTTATAATTAAAAGTATCACAATAATAACCCATTCTCCTTAAAGAATTTGCGATAACTAAATAAATTCTTGTTTCAGCAGTTAAGGTACTAATGATCTTTTTGTTTATTTGTAGATTATGTAATTTACTAAAAATAGTCACACAACTCTCGATATAACTTGACAAAATAGCCTTATGGGGAATTTAAGACGACATTGTAGACGATAAGATATCTATTTAGTCTGTTGGTAAAAACAACTGTGGTTTATCATGTTCTTGTTGTTGTAGTAGTAGTTATCGAGGCGTGTGTCGGATCTAATGGGAAGTAATGATTAAGGAACATGGGTTGATTGTAAAGATTGGTAAAAGCTCCAGAAAAGGGAACAAGAAGCAGAGACTAAACAATGGTTTGTTAACAACCTAATATTGAATGTGGAATAAAATACTTATTGTTTGGAAATGTTTTGTGTATTAATAATTGCTGGTTAACCTAAAAAATTCTTGAAAAGTATAAACTAAACGCTATGTCTAGATATGTATGTATACATGTAAAATGGGTTTAATAAATACTGTAAATTTCTTCGTTTGCTTCAAGAACAACAATAACAATGAGAACATAACCAACACAAGAGCACATAACCGATCTCAATTTGCTTACCTTTCTTTCTTTCTTCGCCCCTCTCTAAGCCCCTTGTCGTTGTTGTTCTTGTTGTTGTTGATACAAGAAGAAAATGAAATAAGGGATGATGATGGTGAAAAAGAAGAAGAAGAGCACTCGGTCAATTCATTTGTCATGATCTATTACATACACACATATATATATATACCATCTATCTAGTTATCTATCTATATCTGTCAGTTTAATGAATGGAGTAGCAGCTTGATTGCGAGAAGGGGAAAACTCGATTGCGAAATTCTTAGCCAAAGTAAAAGCAAAAGTAAAAGTGAAAGTAAAAATGAAATTCTGATTGTTTGGTTGATGAATTAGGTAATCATACATTTTATATTTCTTAGTATAACACACATGGGCTAGTGTTACTACTTGTATTTGTGGTAGTATACTATACTATAATATAGTATAATAAGCCCAATGGGATGGGATACTTCCGGCTTGCACAGGATATTGCCCACCTTGTTCAATATAACTCTTTTGCTTTTAATAAGAAAAAGAAATTCAAATCCATTGCAACGTAGCTTAGCGTAACATGGCTTTTCACAATCTCGATTCCAGTAATAGTAATTCTACAACACAGAAAGAGTGTGTGTGTGTGTGTGTGTGTGAAAGTTGAGACTTTCGGCCTGTCGGTGGGTCAGTCGGTGAGTCGTTTGTTTGCTTATTTAATGTCCAATGTTGAAGAAGAATTCCAGGGCATAGTTGCACTTGTTATGCACTTTATGTACTTTGTTGAATTGTGTTAATTTTGTGAAAAGTTTTTATCATTTTCAACCACCGATAAATGCAAGAGTAAGAATTCTTATATAACTTGGTTATTTGTTTATTTATATAAAATGAAAATGAAATTTCATCATTTCCATTATTTTGCTATTCGTTTATTTTTTTTGAATTCATCTATCTTGCTAATAATTCATTTTCTTAGTTATTAGTTTGACTGTTTATTTAAAGACAATATCAACTATAACAACAACGAACTAATTAACTAACTAACTGGGCAAACAAACCTATACCTTTCGTTATTCAACTCATCATCGCCCAGCTCCATCGTCATCGTCAACCTCACCACCATCTCGATCGCCATCACCATCTAACCGGTGTATAACTTGAAACAGAATAATTTTCATTTCATTTCGTTTCATTTCTTTGGGTGAGAAATTTTTTTCTTTTTTTTTCTTTTCTTTGGTTATTGTTATTGTTATTGTTGTTATTGTTATTGTTATTGTGAGAGTGTCCCCTTCTTCTTCTTCTTCTTTTTTTTTTTTATCGAAGTTGATTATCACCATCTGATTTTTACCAAATTTCATCAGTGTTCTTGTTGTTCTTGTTATTGTTGTTATTGTTGTTTTCATTTGATTCACTTACTCATAACTTCTATCCCACAACATTCTCATAAGTTCTTTTTGTTCCACCACTCCCTCGTTCCCCTTGTATCTGTGTGTTTTGTTTAATCGTATTTTGTTTGGGTTTTGTTTAATTTTTAGTTCATTCATATTCATTTTTGTTTTTTTTAAATTGCATTGATTGTGTTTTTATTTTCCCATATTTAGGTGATAAGCTCCGTATGTCTAGTGCTACTACAGCTACTTTACCTACTTCTATAATGACTCCATCCGCAACAACTTCTCCCATAATTCCTTCAATTCATTCATCAACAACAACAACAACTACTAATACCACTACTACTACTACTACATTGACATCGTCTTCTCCTTCTTCTTCTTCTCCAAAAATCCCTCAACCTTCACGTCATGAAAAGAAATCTAGAGCTCAACAATTGAAGAAATTGGAACGATCTTTACAAAAATTTGTTCATCAACCAAATAATTCAACTATATTACGTCGAAGTTTAATTCCTTTCCTAAGAATAAATGATTTAGAAAAATTCCAAGATGAAAAGAATTTCATTCCTTTGATGTTGAGTTGGTGGAATCAATTATTAACAAATAAATTTAATAATAAAAGAAATGAATTATTGGAATGTATTTCAAGATTATTACCTTTGGATTTACATGATAATATAATGTTGGAAAGAACTTATCAATTTTGTTTAAGTCTACTTAATAATTCTAAAACTTTAACAACTTCCCATTCAGCATTCATTGGAAAAGTTTTTGCATATTGTTTTTATAAAACTAAGAATCAAGAGATTCTATCCCTTTTAAATCCTAAAAATTGTAAAGTTTTAAGTTCTTTTATATATCATTTTGTTTTAATTATTAAGAAGTATAATAGTAATGGTCAAGATTTGGTATTTATTAGAAATAAAATCTATCATACTTTAAGACAATCAATATTGGTAACTATAAATCCTCCTCCTCCAATACGTACACCTCCACAACAGTCATCATCTTCTTCCACCACCACCACCACCACCACATCAACATCAACACCTTCTCAACGACTGCAACTGCCGCCAAAACAACAACCATCATCTCAGCAAACAGTACAACCTACTCTGGGATCCATTGCACAACCTGTACTTAATCAACAATCACCTCATACAGGCATATTCAGAGTAGTACGATCTTTAATTTTCAGAGCAAAATCTAATGATCCAATAACTGCATCCATTGTTAAAACAGTTGATGATTGTTTGATGTCAATTGCAAAAGAAACTTCTATTCATGACGTTAATAGAAATGGTATATTATTAAACATAGTTGGTGAGTTTATTAATCATATAAATATCCAACAATATTTATCCATTGAAGAAGATGAGGAAGAAGTTGAAAAAGTAACACAGGAAAATCCAGAAGATCGATTTATTTCTGTTATAGATTGGGAATTTTGGTTAAGTTGTAACTATATGATGATTCATCATTGTGATCATGTTCAAATTTTACTTAAAAGTTTTACATTTTTATTCAATACTTGGGATATGATTCCTGATTCATTATGTTTGAATAAAAAACCTGGTGAACCATTTAAATGGATTATGAATTTACAAGATTCAATTAAAACAAATTTTGTTAATCATTGTTTAGCTAGTGATGAAAATTTTATTCGTTTAATGATTCATTGGAATCCATTGGTTCGTTCATATTATATTAAATTATTAGTATGGAGAATCATTGGTATTAATAATTATCAATCATCAATTAAAATTCAAATGACTGGAAATATTCAAATGAAATTATTTCAATCATTTAAATTTTTAGAAAATTTCACCATTTTATATGATGGAAATTTAGATTTGAATTATAAACCTGATAATCCTTTGGTTAATAGAAAATTTGGTATAATTCCTATAACAATTCGTGATGATTATTTGTCAATTGATGAAACTAATGGTAATTCAGATTTATCCATTCCTGCTACTTTGAATACTTCACAATTGAGAAAAACACATCCATATGAAGTTTTAGATGATGCTGTTTATACATGTTCAAGTTCAGTTCCTATTAGTGAAGTACGTACTGGACCAACGACTCCAAAGAAATTAACTAGTAGACTGTCTCCATCACCAAAAAGATCTTCTTCATCACCATCGATATCAACAGCAACTAATAATTCATTGATGAATTCATTAGGCAAATTATTCAAAATATTGTCTACTGATGACAATAATGCTAACAATAAACTGAAACTTAATGATATTCAAGAAGATGAAGATTATTCAAGTTCAAATTGTGCCCCTCCGAAAATGAAGAGGAATTCAGTTTCTTTAACTTCATTATCTACAGCATATTCATTTAAATCTAGATCTTCCAGTCCAAGTATAATGTCATATAAATCAAATCCAACAGAATCTTCATCTGTTTCAACTGATAGTGATTCTATTCAATCTGAAGATACTATGAATTCTAATTCAACTAATTCAGTTAATAATATTCAAAATGTTAAAACAAATTCATATTATAATGTTCAACCACCTGAATTATCACAATTACCACCAGAAATCATTCGACCAATGTATAAATTTGATATTGTTGTTTGTCATGAATCATTGAATTCGAAATTTTCCATAATTCATCATAAGAATACACTTGTTAATCAAAGAAGATTAATGCATAGTAAGAATAATGATGGTACATATTGTGTTCCAAAATATCAACCAACAACTAGTTATTTCCCATTGGTTCCTGAAATTCCAATGATTTCAATTTTTATTAGTTCTGATAATTTTGGTAATAATAGGATTTATATTAATGAAGAAGATTCAAGTTATTTAAATTTAGAACAATATCATCATGAATCAAGTAATGGATTATCATTTAAAGATTTGAATTTAATTCAAGTTTTAAATTTAGGTAAATCAATTAATGAATTTAATGTTGTTGTTGATGAATTTAAAAGATTTTTAAATAATAGAGTTGAAATTGATTCAATTAATCAAGGAATGATGATGATATCTCTGGAATCGGTTTATTTCAAAAGAATAATTCCTTTCTTATCAGTTGATTCTTCAAATGAAATGAAATGGTTAAATGGGAATTAGTTTCTATATATATACAGATATATATAATCATAAAAATACATGTCCAAGTCCAAGTCCAAGTGCAATCTATACCTCCATAATATAACAAGTCAACACTTGTTTGAACATCTCTTGATTTGAGTAATACCTCCCCTTGTATCAACTTCTATGAGTTTTTAACTTTAATAATTGGTTGATTTTTCCGATTATTTATATACAACATGGTATAACTTATCAATATTCCAAACCCTGACATTATACCAAAGAAAATCAAACTACCAATTACATAACAAGAATAATAATATTTAACTAAATAATATCTAAAACCAGTCCAAATTACTTCGATTTTCAAAAATGAAAAATTATCATCAATTAAAAAATCATAATCATTATCATTATTATTATTATTCTTATTCGTTAAATTTATTTGAAATTCATTCATATTTGATAAATTCTTACCTAATATTTTAAATTTATTAAAATTTAAAACAATTGATTGAGAAATTTTAGTTAAATATGGAGATATTAAAAATTTAAAATTATATGGAATAATATAATTATTTCTTGAATAAATTTCATATGGATCACAATTTAATATAAATGAACCTTTATGAAAAACATCACCAAATATTCTCTTCTTCTTTTTTCTAATAATCATCTTTTTATCATCATCATTATTATCATTATCAACTATCGATGATGATGATGATGATGATGATTTAATTAAATTATCAGAATTTAAAATATTTATAAATTCATATTGAATTTTATCAATTGAATATAATTCAGATTTTGGTTTACATAAAATACTCAATTCAATTTCAAAATTATAAGTTAATTCATTATCTATGATATCTTTAAACATCATTGGATTAATAATATTTGAATGAATTTTATTTGAATTATTTAAAATTGTGAAATTTAATGGGATTTTAAAACTACTATTTTTAGGTATTAATGAATGATAATAATTATTATAGGTTATTAATGATATTGGAAATAGTATAAATAGTGATGATGATATTGTTGTTATTATATATAACCATGACCTTGCAATTGTTAAAGGAACTGATATTCCTAGGAATTTTAACCAATTCGTCATTATACCAAAACAATTGTTGTCGTTGTTTTCGTTTTTGTTGATATTAAAAGTGGAGGTTGTTTTTTCAAAAGGGAGGTTTTTTAATTACATTTACATTTGCTTTTTTTGTTTTTGTTGTTTGTTTCTTCACGTGACTGTCTCAACCCGTCAGTTGTACTGTGATTTTCTATTTTAAACGAGTGTAATTGTGGCTATATCTATTGTATTTGTAATTGCTAAATAATTCTCACAAGTCTATATGAACCCCCGATAATGATATCTGATTCCTAATCTAATACATAGTTACCTAAATAACCAATTATCTCTCTGTGTTTTGCTTTCATTTGGATTCTAATATTAACCAACACAAATCAAAGATCCATCTGGTAGCGTACTCGTATCTAATCTAATGGGGGCAGGTCTATGTGTGTCCTTTCAAAAGGGCCAATGAAGACGAAGACTGCTGATAGTATATGTGGAAACATAGTCACCTCCCCTCCCCCAAACAATAAGAAGCACTAACAGGTGGATATCGTACCTTGTTTTGCTTTAACTCTCTCTCACTCCCCTTTGGGTTAAGAGCACACTGCCCAATTTGATTTTCTTTTAGGAATGAGATACGGCGATTTTAGTGGTATCGTTAATAAATTCTTTAATTATAACTAACAAAAATATGTTGATTAACTATATACTAAAACATTAGAGAAATATATAAATGGAATATATATACATATATATATATATATATAAAATCAGGATTAAAACAAATATTAAATTAAAAAAAAAAAAAAACAAGAATAATCACCCACCATCACACACTAAATTCGAATTATCTTTTATCACGCCAATAACTCATTCTCTTTATCACTCTCTCTCTCTCTCAAATAAAAAAAAATGCAAAAATAATAATACATGAACTAAAAAATAAAAATACTAATCTTCATTCATTCTCTTTCTTTTTTTCTTTTTATTTATTTATTTCTTATTAATGAGTAGTATGACCACGATGGTATTTCAAACCATTAAGATTCTTATATCTCTTACCACATACTTCACATCTATAAGGTTTATCCTTTTCCAAAGCTGAATTATCCAAGTATGGGCAATTTGAGTCCGGATCAATAATCGAAAATGTTCCATCTGGGTTTTCTCTCAAATTTTGTCCTTGATGTCCATGTTGACGATGGTATTTTAATCCATTCTGGTTCTTATAAGTCTTATCACATCCAATAACTGGACATTTAAACGGTTTATTCTCTTCATTCTCTGCAACATATAAATGACGTGCTGGATCATCAATATACATGTCATCTTCATCCATAGGAGTATCTTCATCTCCAGCACCTTGAGATCCAATTGGTGATTGTTGATGGGAACTTCCAAAACTATTCTGGTGAAATTGTTGTTGTTGTTGTTGTTGATGTGATGAAATTTGCGTTGGGGATTGATTTTGATTGTTATTGTTATTATTATTATTCTTCTGTTGTTGTTGTTGTTGTAGAAGTTGCTGTTGTTGTTGAGCCTGTTGTTGTTGGGCATGTTGAGCTTGTTGTTGTTGATCGTGTTGTTGAAGAATTTGGTGGGCTTGTTGATTAGCAAAGTTATAATTATTACTTGCTGCATTTGGATGTATTGTTTGACTATGGTGATTATTGTGGTGGTTGTTGTTATTGTTCAAAAACACATCCGTTGTAGATACAGTTTCCATGACATTATGCATATTATTATAGTTGTTTCGACTTCTATTATTGTTTAACATGTGGTGACTTTGATCTGTTGGTGGAGATGCCAGTATATGAGCCTCTTCATAGTGTCTTAATAAATCATGCAAAGTTGGCAATAACTCGCCACAACAATTGTAATCTTTACAATAATCCGCTTCCAATTCAGGTAGATATGAAGTTTGTAAATGAGGAGACATACTTGGATGAGTAGAAGTAGCTCTGAATGACCCTCGTCTAGGATTGATTAGGTTTGGTTGATTTGAAGACGATTGATGGGTTTGTTGTGAATAGTTATGAAACTGCTGTTGTGCTTGCAGTTGTTGCCCCAGAGCCATCTGTGAATTATTTGAATGATAATGTGGCGTAAGAAAATTGCCTTGATTATTAGAACTACCATTTGCCATCATAACTTCATCTTTAAGCCAAGACCCTATTGTTACTGAACCCCAAGATATACCACCCATTCCTTGAGAATGTGCCACTGATTCACGTCTAAATCGCGAGTTATTAAACACAGAAGCTCTATGGTTGAATGTGATATCTATTGGTTGTTGTGTGCTAATATGGCCATTACTGTTGCCATTACCACCAGTGTTTGATTGATCGGGAATATTAATTGCAGTAGCAGTAGCAGTAGCTGAGCCACCTGAAGATGAGTTGCTATTCTCAAATATCTTTGTATTAAACATTATGTGTGGGATATTAATAATCAAATGTAGATGACTGGGGATTTGAGTTTTATTTAATTTTTAATGTTTAATTTTTTTTTTTTCCTTTCTCAAATTATAATGTAAAATGATGGTGAAGTTTGATAATAATGAGACTTTATCAAAGAGAGAGAGTGTGTGTATCTCTTTCTTTCTTTCTTTAGTTTAGTTTAATTGACTTTACTTTACTTTCTCTCTAGATTTTTTTTTTTTCCTTCTTCCCCCTTTTCTCAAAATAAAATTTTTGATCAGTGGGTACACTACTTTTCTGTTGTCTGAAGTTGTTGTTGTAAAAAAAAAAGTAATAGTAATAGTAGTATTATTTGATGATGATGAAGAAGATGATGTCTATCAAAATTTAGAATCCCTTGAACAGATTAAATGTGAGTTTGTATTAGTTAATCTAACGTTGATGGGATTCAACAACAACATCTGATTGGATTATTTCTCTGATGAAACTATAAAGAGAAAAAAAAATGGAATGGTGTATATACTTCATATATTTTCCTCGTGTCTCCCTCTCTACTCATTCATCATTCATCGGTTGCTCTGGGGGGGGGGGGGGT